TTGGTTTGGTTAGGTTTGGTTGGTTTGGTTTGGTTAGGTTTGGTTTGGTTTGGTTTTAGTTTGGCTTGGTTACGTTAGGTTAGGTCAGGTCAGGTCCAGGTCAGGTCAGGTCAGGTCACTGTCTACGACCTGCACCCTGAGAGTATTCTGTTAACTCCCCATTCATATGCTTTCTCCATCACTCCCCTCCCCTCCCACCCCTGAACCCGGTCCTTTCCACTCCTCTGCCCACCCACACACCCCAGGCTCGCTGCTGCCCACACACACACACACACACACACACACAATTGATGGGAAACTGGGGCTTTGTGGTGTTGATGTGGCGAATCTGTTGTTAAAACCTCGACTCTCTCTGTCTCGTCTCTTGTCTCCCTCTCTCTCTCTCTCTCTCTCTCTCTCTCCTGTCATCTTCAATGAGAGTTAATCGTCTTCACCTCTGTCCTCTTGTCGTGAAAACATTGAGAAAAAAAATTTGATAAACGACCCATGTTTATTTTTCCTCGTGATCTTCCCATTAAGTTAATAGTTGAAGAATATGACAGGAGGATAAGCCCAGATTGGAGATTTTTACACACACACACACACACACTAGTCGAGGGTGGCAGTTCATGATGTAATGTAATGTAATGTACAATATCATTAACTAACCTACCACCTGGAGTCCCCATGTATTGAGAACTAAATGAGAGTTGCCCCACAAACATACTCCAGAGCCACGCCCACCAACAGACGTCACAGCCTCGCCCACAAACAGACGTCACAGCCACGCCTAAACAGACATTAAAGCCATGGCTACAAACATACGCCACAGCCACGCCCACAAACATACGTCAGAGCTACGCCCACAAACAGACGTCACAGCCACGCCCACAAACAGACGTCACAGCCACGCCCACAAACGACATCAAACTACACCACCAGACGTCAGAGCCTCGCCCACAAACACGTCGACATCGCCCACAGCATACAACACAGACATGCAAAGTCACTCACCAGCAAACGTCGCTCGCCCCTAATACGCCACAGCCTCGCCCACAAACATACACACAGCCACGCCCACAAACATACGTCATCTTGCCACGCCCCAGAACACACATGTACACCATACAATACCAATTCGACAAGTTACTTCCCTCTCTGTTACAGCAGAGAGGGAAATATCAATTACGCTACTTTTGCTATTTTCACCTGTTCTATTTGTTAAACCTACATCACTTACGAGTTTTTCTAAATGATTGCTCATTACTTCCAACTGTTATATATCGACCAATAGGCGTTAAGCTTGAAATATTTCGTATTTTCACTGTTATTTTTTTTCCACCAAATCAGAATATAGATCATTAGATTTCCTCGCTCTTAAGAGATAACATTGGTCGAGTATCAGTTTATATATATTACGTAATTATTCTTCAGCTGTATATAACTTGGTTCATATTAGTTACAGTTATCTCCCTAATTATTGACCCATAAATTAATGAATTTTGGAAGTTAATGACAGAACCGTAACCACAACTTACATAACGTAACCACATAACAACAACCGTAACTTTAACACACGTACAGCAGACTATTTCACAACTACACCGTAAACATAACTAAGACACACAAACAAAATATTTTTCACCCAATAGGATAATGTTTCAACTTACTTCCTTCTTGACACTTGAGGACAACACTCCTCCACTAACTGCAACATTTTGGGTGTGGCTCTTCAGTTTCACTCTCTCTTTTTGACTACCCAAACCTATCTCTGAGTTATTATTCTCTCCCAGTGTTATGTGGTTTTTTTTCTCTTGTTTGGTGAGAGAACATTATTTTTTTTTACTTTTTTTGTGAATGATAGTTTAACATGGCGGTGAAGTATGTTATTATTATTATTATTATTATTATTATTATTATTATTATTATTATTATTATTATTATTATTATTAGTTATTAGTTATTATTATCTTCTCTTGTGAATGATAGTTTAACATGGCGGTGAAGTATAAATTACATCATGGTGATACTTGACTGTTTTATGAGTTTGTGGATTAAATTTCTGAAGTGAGTTTACGTTCAATATATTAATCAATGGTCGGTCTTCAGTACGTATATGTTTCCTTGTGATATATGTATATAGTGTTTATATGAGCGCCTTCAAGAGTGGTCCAGTTCTCAGTATAGGTTCAAACCATATCAGTGTTGTTGTTGTTGTTGTTGTTGTTGTTTATTTGTTATTTATTTGTTGTTGTTGTTGTTGTGTTTGTTTGTTTATTTTGTTGTTGTTGTTGTTGTTGTTAATTGTTGTTGTTGTTGTTGTTGTTGTTGTTGTATTTGTTGGTTAATTTGTTGTTGTTGTTGTTACATTTGTTTATTTGTTGTTGTTGTTGTTGTTGTTGTTGTTGTTGTTGTTATTTGTTGTTGTTGTTGTTGTTGTTGTTGTTGTTGTTGTTGTTGTTATTTGTTGTTGTTGTTGTTATTTATTTGTTGTTGTATTTGTTTATTTGTTGTTTGTTGTTGTTGTTGTTTATTTATTTGTTTGTTGTTGTTGTTGTTGTTGTTGTTGTTTAATTTATTTGTTGTTGTCATATTACACAGGAGAACAACATCTTTAATATAGGTTCATCTTAGTGTTTTTGATAAATTTATTTTTATAACAAATAACATAAATATTTATATGTGGCGGTCTTAGTTTGTTTGGATATTTTGAGACACCCTGTAAAGATTTACTCATATTTACCTTCATGGGAATAAATATCACATATCATTATAATATCAAGTCGATGTTTTATAGAATCATATAATAATAATAAACTACAGTATGAGACAGAAATATAGATAAGTTTTCTCTATAACTGACATCAGGTTATTTGTATATAGGATTCATATACACACTAATTATACAGATTTTCGTGGCGGTCGCGTGTATTGTTGTATTAAAATAGAGCATTAGCCATAAGAATCTCTCGAGTAGTTTGTATACTTTTTTTTTTTTTTGAGACACTGACTGAATGACGCTCACTATCATCACGGTCTTCATCACTATCATGTAGGATTAATAACCCGAAGGAGAAGTTGGTGATAGTTATTGTGTTGTGATGAGTTGTTGTGAAATTGGTGTGATGAGTCGTTGTGGTGGTGTGATTAGTTTGTGGTGGTGTGATGAGTCGTTGTGGTGTTGTGATAAGTTGTGGTGGTGTGATGAGTCTTTATGGTGTTGTGATGGTAGTTGTGGTGGTGTGATGAGTCTTTATGGTGTTGTGATGAGTCGTTGTGGTGGTGGATGAGTCTTTATGGTGTTGTGATAGTCTTTTGTTGGTAATTAGTTATGATGAGTCTGGTGGTGTGATGATCTTTATAGTGTTGATGAGTCATTGTGGTGCTGGGTTATATAGTTTTTGGTGACGGATAAATGTGGTTGATAGTAAAAGTAGTTGAATAGTTATATGTTATTTCAAGGTAAAAAGAGATAAATGTTATAAGGAAATTATTAATGATATGAGATGAAAGTTTGCATCAAGGTGACGCTATGTTTGAGTCATGGTTGATGTCTCTCTAATGTCTCAAACTTTTCCTTTATTAAAACATTAACACGATGTAACAGGTCAGGATTATGTGACGGCAACATATCATCAAGCTGTGATTGTCATGTCGCAGAAGTGATATATTCATACTAAAATATGTGGATAATTCACAATATCTTCTGTTAATCATTAGGCTTTTGCCATTAGAGTACAATATATATATATATAGTTATCCTTTTCTATACAATTTATCTGTTTAACCATCAATCTGGTGAATGTATCGTTGATTCGTTTGTCGTATCTGAAGACTTGGGTGGTGTCAGTGGGGAGGTGTTGACCAGGTGGGAGTCATCACCCTTCTGGAGAGTGATGGAGGAGGACCGTCAGCGTCCCCGTTTGTCTTCCCCCGCTCTGGTCGATGTTGGTGATGACTGACTCGTCTCACAACTCTCATCATCTATGAACTTAAACTCAAGTAGATTATTCTCCTCTACGCTGCTCACAGACGAGGATGGCGTCGGTGCCTTCTCTATAATTATCACTCCCTCATCTTCCTTGCCTTCTTCCTCACCTCAAGGTCGACCTTCTCATCAGACACCTGTCAGTGTATTGGAATGTATTGTTCAGATAAGAATTTTAAGTCGTGAAATTGTCTATTACTAAGAACAAAGCCTAATGTTGATAATTTTGGTAACGTAGAGTAATTATGTTAACTCCAAAATGAAATACAGTGTCATATATGTTTTATGTTATATCATCACCCAAGTTATAGTATTATGAGATGCTCCGGGCCAGAACAAGGCAAGCGACAAAACCAACTTAAGATGTGTTTATCCTACTATTATGTTCATTATGAAATTGATAAACTTTAACTAAGTTTTTTAGCGTTTTTTGGTGCCTTTATCGCTTATCTTCTCGCCTGGAGCGCCTAAGTTTATTTACTTCACCTCACAGTGGTTGCCGACATCCACCTTCTTCAGCTCAGGACTCGGCCCGGGGTTAATATTGTTATCAAAAGCTTGTGTGGCGCGTTTGTTGCGGCTGATGGGAGAGACGTGGGAGTGTTTGTTGACGCGAACGTGGGCGTTGTTGACGTGTGGGTGAGCATCTGCTGGGCTGAGGGTCAGATGTCGAGGACTACGCCCAAACCCGTACTGGAGTGTTACCCTTGCGTCTAGTGAGCCCACATTTTTCTTTAAATGATCTGAGGGCGAAAGAAATATAGTCGTGGATTGAATTATATTTGGAAGTGCTGGAGTATACGCACACACACACACACACACACACACACACAGGTACCTTCTGATACCGACATAAAACACACAAGCTCCCTCACATAAACAAAACACACACGACGTCCTCCCCAAAATAAACACAAATCATCCCCACCCCCCACCCCACCCACACCCCCCACCCCACCCCACACACCCACCCCCCACACCCCACCCCCCACCCCACCCCACCCCCCACCCCCACCCCACCGCACCGCAACACTCACCCAGACGCCAGACAGAGTGGTCTCTTGGAGGTCTGGGTGACGGGGTGGATGACTTGGAAACCCTCCGACACACTGACTTGATGGAGGTAGTGTCTGAACCTCGTCCTCCAACACACCCTACCTCCACTACCTCCTACAGTGACGGAGGTGACGAAGGAGTGGGCGAGAGGTTGCTGATGGTACATACAGGGTACAAACGTCATGAGGAAGGTCCGGCGGTACTGGGGAAGGAAAGAGGAATTAGATTATTGGTGATGTTGATAAAATGTTGTGGTTGTCTGTTCTTATTTCTTATAAATTAATAAGGTTTAACACTTGGTGATATTAACACCGATTTAACTCCCCAGGTACAAAGATTAAACCTCTTGAGTACACCTATTTAACCTTTTGAGTCCGAAAATTTAACCCCTTGAGTACAATGGGTTAAATATTCGTACACAAGAGGTTAAGTCCTTGTACTAAATATATTAAGTCGTCGTACTCAAGGATTTAAATCATCGTACTCAAGAGGTTAGGTCGTCGTACTCAGGAGGTTAGGTCATCGTACTCAAGAGGTTAGGTCATCGTACTTAGAGGTTAGGTCATCGTACTCAAGAGGTTAAGTCGCCTAATCGAAGCATAAGCCATCAAACTCGAGAGAGGGTTAACTCCGCCATGGCTCAAGAATAAAGTCATTATATTCAATGTAGTTAAGACGTCGTCCTCAAAGGGGGGTTAAAGCTTCCTACCCTCTAAATATTCCTCCACCATGCTCGTCAAGGCCGGTTCAAGGTTAATGGATAATGCTGGCTTCTCTCTCTCTCTCTCTCTCTCTCTCTCTCTCTCTCTCTTGAAGGCCGAACAGAGAAGCGGAGTTATATTATATTATGGTGAATATGATAATGAGAGAGAGAGAGAGAAAGAAGAGAGAGAGAGAGAGAGAGAGAGAGACAGACAGATAGACAGACAACCAGACAGACGGACAGAAAGACAGACTGATAGAAAGACAGGCAGACAAACATACAGACACGAACAGAAAGATAACCAGACAGACATACAGAAAGACAAACAGACAGAAGCCAGACAGACAGCCAACCAGCCAGCCAGACAGACAGACATACAGAAAGACAGCCAGACAGACATACAGAAAGACAGTCAGACAGACAGCCAGACAGACAGACATACAACCAGACAGACAGCCAGACAGACAGACATACAGCCAGACAGACAGACATACAGCTGACAGACAGTAGACATACATACAGCCAGACAGACAGCCAGACAGACAGACAGGACAGCCACAGACACAGCCAGACAGACAGACAGCCAGACAGACAGCCAGACAGACAGACATACAGAGGCATAGACAGCCAGACAGACAGACAGACAGCCAGCCAGACAGACAAACAGACATACAGCCAGACAGACAGACATACAGCCAGACAGACAGACAAGACAGCCAGACAGACACAGACAGACAGCCAGACAGACATACAGCCAGACAGACAGACATACACACTCAGACAGACAATACATACAGCCAGACAGACAGACAGACAGCAGCCAGACAGACGAAACAGACATACGAGACAGACAGACATACAGGCAGACAGACACTTTTCAGAATTTAATATCATGTAAGTGTCCAAAAAAAAAAGACCTGCTGAGGACTATTTCTGTCGTCTGTTGTTCGGTGCAATATGTATATGGATTACCTGTCCTGCTGTGTGTGTGTGTGTGTGTGTGTGTTGTTTCTTATTTTGCTTTTGTTTTTCCTCTCCTCCCTCCCCTCTGTCTGTTTCTGTCTCTTCTCTATGTCTGTCTGTCTCTCTCATTGTCTCTCTCTGTCTGTTTGTCTGTCTCATTGTCTCTCTCTGTCTGTCTCTATGTCTCTATCTCTGTCTCTCTTTCTGTATTGTTTGTGTTATTTAGATTTTCTCTCTCATTCTCTGGCTCTCTCTCTCTATTGTTTGTATATTCAGACTCTCTCTCTCTCTATTGTTTCTGATATCTAGACTCTCTCTCTCTCTCTCTCTCTCTCTCTCTCATTGTTTGTGATATCTAGACCTTCTCTCTATTGTTTCTGATATTCAGTCTCTCTCTCCTGTTTCCTGACATTCAGTCTCTCTCATGGCAGCATCAGAGGCTGCATACTGTCTCGCTCTTATTTCATGATATGGTGGTTTATGTTGTTTGGCTGATGAGCAAATTGGTGTTGTGGTGCAATGTGGTGCATTTATGTGCTGTGGTGGTGTATTGTGGTGGTGTGGTAGTGTATTATGGTTGTGTGGTAGGGTTGTGTGTATATTGTGGTAGTGTAGTGTTTCTCGGTGTAGAATATTTTGGTGCTGTGGTGGGTATTGTGGTTGTGTGGTAGTGTATTGTGGTTGTGGGGTGATGGTAATTTGTGGTGGTGTATGTGGTTGTGTATTGTGGTTGTGTGGTAGGGTTGTGGTAGTGTATTGTGGTGGTGTGGTAGGGTTGTGGTAGTGTATTGTGGTGGTGTGGTAGTGTATTGTGGTTGTGTGGTAGTGTATTATGGTGGTGTATTGTGGTGGTGTGGTAGGGTTGTGGTAGTGTATTGTGGTGGTGTGGTACAGTGTTATGGATTTATACTGTGGTGTATAGTGGTGTTTTATAAGAACATAAAAATGGAGGAAACTGCACGAGTTTTATTGGTCCATACTAGACAGTCCCGTTTACACCCAACCTCGGCCAACCTATATTTGAAGCTACCCAGCGTGTTCCAGTTTAATGGTCGTGTTTGGTAACTTGTTCCACTCGCCCACAATCTATTTCCATACCAGTGTTTATATATCACACGTCTAAACCTAAATTTATCTTATTCAAAACTATTGTTACGAGTTCGCTTCTGGTTATGGTTTAATTACCTTTGTTATGTGACCTTTGTTTAGCCCTGACTTCCATTTATACGCCTCGATCTTATCCCTCACTCTCTCGAGGGAGTGCAGATTTAAGTGCTTTAATCTGTCTCTGTATTAATGTTCCTACTGTCTGAGATTTACCAGTCTGTAGTAGACATTTAAGCTTGTCGTGAGAGTTTGTCATCCTTTGTCGAGTTTGGGGTTTAATTCTCTAACTAATTCGCCGTTTTGTCTGGTATAATTTCTAGGTAACCTTTCGTTATGTGACCCCGTGTCCACTGTATAGCTTCCTCGGCCCTCCTGTTCCTATGCTTTCTTGGCAGTTTAAAGACTCGTTATCTTATCAATTCTTCTCGAGAGTGCTGGCCAGGGCTGCCACCCCCGTCCCTGGGTAAATGTACTCCACCACGTGCATATATCGGCGGGTCCATCCTGCTGTAGAATGTTATTAAAGAATGGAACTAAAATTGACTTGCAATATCTGTAGAGAAGGTCGATGACACCAACCGCCCTTGACAACCATTCACTGCCAACTCTCCTTCTCGGCATGACGCCACATTGATTGGAATTCCTTCCTTCATCCTAATAAAGTCAGTAGCTGCCTTCACCTCATTGAGAAACTCTTCACTCTTACACCGGCCAATATCGTGTGTTGTGGTACAGTGTGGAGGTATTATCGTATTGATGTCATTGTTATGGTGGCGTAGTCAGGGCGGCGGTGGTGTCATGGTAGTGTCAGTGTTGATGGTAGTAGTGTTGTCATGGTGATGCTAGGGTGATGATGGTAATGTTGTCACAGTGGTGTTGTCAACATGTTCTTCGTCAGCAGGATATTGAACAAATTATAGCTGCTTCAAAAAGGAAACTAGAGTGAAAGTCGTGGTGCCTGGAGAGTGGGTGGAGGAGGAGGTCCAGACTTTCTCCAAGAGCGAGAAAAGTTTTAGCAAATTTAGGAAAGAAAATAAAAGTTGGTGAAAGTCTTACTGTTTGGGAGAGTTACTCGTGGTCCACAATTTCTCCGAAAACAAGGACAAGTTTTCAAAATTTTAGGAAAGAAAGTAAAATAGGTGAAAGTCTTAGTACCTTAAGTATGGGAACAAATTTCTTCAACAAGGAAAAGTTAGGTTGGTTCGGGAAAGAAAGTAACACCAGTGAAAGTATTATTATATGGGAAGATAACTAAGGTCCAAACTTTCTCCAAAACCAAGGAAAAATTTGATCTTATTGTTTTCTTTTTGTGGAGGGAAATTAAAGTGAAAGTTTTTGGTACCTGGGGAATGGGCGGAGGTCGTAAGTTTTCTCTGGTTACTCTTAGGGCGGGAAGTAAATTAGATAAATGTCCGGCCTCTTGGAGAATAGATGGAGGTCTTTACTTTCTATAAGAACGAGTGAAAGTTTTTGCCTTATTGTTTTCAAGGGAGGAAAATAAAATGAAAGTTAGGGACCATAAGAGAGTAGATGGAGGTCCTAACTTTCTACGAGGGGGAAAATAAAAAAAAAGTGAGTAGTTCTTACTTTCTATTAATACGAGGGAAAGTATTAGCCTATTGTTTTAAAGGGAGGGAAAGTAGAGTAGGTGAAAGTGTTTGTATATCTGAAGGGTTGGATAAAATTCCTTAGTTTCTAATTAAGAATGAAAGTTAACCAGGTGAAAGTCTTTATACGTGGGTCCTTACTTTCTACGACAACAAATAAAAAAAAGGAAAGCAGATGAAACTTTTACTGCGTGGAAAGATAAATCAAGAACCCTACTTTCTCCAACAACAAGAAAGAAAGAACGTTTAACTATAGGAGAAAGTAAATAAACTTACTTTCTACGACAAAAAACAGAAAAATCAGGTGAAACTTTGCATGGGAAAAAAAAATTCTTACAGGTGAAAAGTTGTTGCTCACCCGGTCAGAGAAAGCGCAGTACAGGATGAAGTTTGCTGCGGCGTTGACTGCGTTGAGAAGGTTGAAGATATTCCCAAGGCCTCTCATGATTGCGTAGGTTTTCGTCTTGGGCGGCGGCTCATACACGGTGCTGAGGGGATACGAGGGTAAATCGTTATTGAAGTGTACTTATAACCATAGTAAAGTGAGTGTAAAGTAAGATAAGTGAGTGTAAAGTAGGTTAAGTGAGTGTAAAGTAGGTTAAGTGAGTGTAAAGTAGGTTAAGTGAGTGTAAATTAGGTTAAGTGAGTGTAAAGTAGGTTAAGTGAGTGTAAAGTAGGTTAAGTGAGTGTAAAGTAAGATAAGTGAGTGTAAAATACGTTAAGTGAGGGTGGTACATCGTGTTGTAAGTGGGCACGAGGGCAGATGATAATTAAAGTGTACTTATAACCATGAAAAGTGAGTGTAAAGTAGGTTAAGTGGGTTTAGTCGGGTTGTAAGTGGACGTGGAGGAGTTGTTGAAGTTTACTTATAACCACAGAAAAGTGATTCTAAGTAGTTTAAGTAAAAGTTAATAGACAGTGCCTAGGGCGTGAAAAGCAAAAAGTGTACTTAATTCCAAAAAAATAATTATAAGTAAGGCGTAAAGTGAATTAAGTAATATTTAGAGATTTACTTAAAGGAAAACACGAGGAGTAATTCTACTTAAATCATCCAAATCTACCGGAAAATCTATGATAAGTAAGGCATTAAGTGAGTTAAGTAGAGAAGAAAGAGGTGACCAGGAATTTAATTAAACTCTCGTAAAGTAATAGAAAGGGGAAGGAGAGGGGAGTTTATAAGTGTCTAAAGTAAAGAAAAAGAACCCCGAAAAGTAAGTAAAGTAAAGTAAATAAATATAAAGATTAATAAGATCTACTTAAATCCATATTATAAGTAGACAAAATATAAAAAGAGAAAGCGTTAGTTACTTGTATCCATCAAAAAGTAAGAAGAAAAGTAAGGTTGTGTGAGGTACATTTAAAGTAATGAAGGAAGTGAAGGAATATGAGGGAAATGAAGGAAGATTGGTGAAGGAAGGAGTATGGTGAGAGAAAAAAGATAAATAGATTACTGAGAGCAATAAACAGGGAGAAACAACAATAAACAGAAAAACACAGAAAAAAAAAAGCAAGAATACAAAAGAAAGCATAAAAAAACAACATTAAAACAAGAAAACATATCCCAAACTTTCTCCACAACACACACCACAATATACACAGCCATCGTGAAAGTTGCCAACACACTTTCCACTAGGACGTCATAACTCTCTCTGACCTTTGACCCCCCTCCTCCCCTCCTCCCCTCCCTCCTCCCCCCCTCCCGTCCAGCACCATCATGACAGCTATAGAGGGCGACGAGGAAGGGGGGGGAGGGGACTAATCTCTTCATGGAACAAGTTTGAAGGCTGTAGGTCAATGCGTTTCTTGGTTAGGTTAGGTTAGGTTAGGTTAGGTTAGGTATAGCACTGCCCACCCTACTCACACACCCCTCCTGCCTATGTAAAGTATGTCTCACTCTGTTCGGGAGAGAGAGAGAGAGAGAAAATAATGCAAGACACACTCTCACAACAGCTCAGTCAGTTTATTGTACAGCTGTTGTAATATACCGGGTAGAGAGGCAGTGATTAATTATGTTTACCTGTGAAGTAGATATTGGGCAACTCTCTCTTTCTCTCTCTCTCTGTATCTCTTACCTGTACATCACCTCACCTGTACATCACCTCACCTGTACATCACCTCACCTGTACATCACCTCACCTGTACATCACCTCACCTGTACATCACCTCACCTGTACATCACCTCCCCTATACATCACCTCACCCCTGTACATCACCTCACCTGTATCACCTCACCTGTACATCACCTCACCTGTACATCACCTCACCTGTACATCACCTCACCTGTATCACCTCACCTGTACATCACCTCACCTGTACATCACCTCACCTGTACATCCTCACCTGTACATCACACCTCACCTGTACATCACCTCACCATCCCTCCTGTACATCACCTCACCTGTACATCACCTCACCTGTACATCCTCACCTGTAACCTCACCTGTACATCACCTCACCTGCTACATCACCTCCCACCGTACATCACCCTCACCTGTACATCACCTCACCTGTACATCACCTCACCTGTACATCCTCACCTGTAACCTCACCTGTACATCACCTCACCTGTACATCCTCACCTGTAACCTCACCTGTACATCACCTCACCTGTACATCACCTCCCCTACATCACCTCACCTGTACATCACCTCACCTGTACATCACCTCCCCTATACATCACCTCCCTATACATCACCTCACCTGTAACCTCACCTGCATCACCTCACTGTACATCACCTCCCTATACATCACCTCACCTGTACATCACCTCACCTGTACATCACCTCACCTGTACATCACCTCCCCTATACATCACCTCCCCTATACATCACCTCACCTGTAACCTCACCACCATCAACTCACCTGTACATCAACTCACCTGTACATCACCTCCCCTATACATCACCTCACCTGTAACCTCACCTGTACATCAACTCACCACATCAACTCACCTGTACATCACCTCCCCTATACATCACCTCACCTGTACATCACCTCACCTATACATCACCTCACCTGTAACTCACCTGTACATCACCTCCCCTATACATCACCTCACCTGACATCACCTCACCTGTACATCCCTCCTATACATCCCCTATACATCCTCCCTATACATCACCTCACCTATACATCACCTCCCCTATACATCACCTCACTGTACATCACCTCCCTATACATCACCTCCCCTATGCATCACCTCACCTGTACATCACCTCCCTATACATCCCACCTCACCATCACCACCTCCCTACATCACCTCACCTGTCTCTCCCCATACCTCCCCTATACATCACCTCACCCTATACATCACCTCCCCCTATACATCACCTCACCTGTACATCACCTCCCCTATCACCTCCCCCTATACAACACCTCACCTGTAACCTCACCTGTACATCAACTCACCTGTACAGCAGGAGTACACGGACGTGGCATCTGGCAGACAAGAGCGAGGATGACTACAGCTATAAGCATGACGGTAATCTTGTATTCTTGTTGGTGGCTGTAGTGGTCTCTCTCTGATACCAGGGTCATCTTGCGGCGGTGAAGCTTACTCTGAAGGGGTGGGGTTACCTCTCTCTCTCTCTCTCTCTCTCCACACACATAGGTACAGACAGACATAGAGACAGGGTAACAGTCAGGGGAGGAAGAGGAATGAGATGAGTAAGTGGGAAAAGAGGGAGGAGAGGGACGATAGGTGGAAGAGAAAGGGGAGGGAGAGGATGCGGGAGGGAGGAAGAGGAGTGGGAGAGAAATGAAAGAGGGAGTGAAAAGGACTTTCTCTCATTATCCTCACCACCTCTCACTCACTATCCCCACCACCTCTCATTATCCTCACCCTCTCCTCCACTATCCTCCACCCTCTCACTATCCTCACCACCTCTCCTCACTATCCTCACCCACCTCTCTCACTATCCTCCACCTCTCCTCATTATCCTCACCACCTCTCTATTCTTCTCCTCTCACCACCTCTCACTATTCTCACCACCTCTCACTATCCTCCACCACCTCTCACTATCCTCCACCACCTCTCCTATCCTCCACCCTCTCCTCTCCCATCACCTGTCACTATCACTCACCTCTCATTATCCTTACCACCTCTCACACTATCCTCCCACCACCTCTCTTACTATCCTCACCAGCTGTCACACACTATCCTCACCACTTCTCATTATCCTCACAACCTGTCACTATCCCCATCACCTGTCACTATCCTCATCACCTCTCATTATCCTTACCACCTCTCACACACTATCCTCACCACCTCTCACTTACTATCCTCACCAGCTGTCACACACTATCCTCACCATCTTCATTATCCTCACAACCTGTCACTATCCCCATCACCTGTCACTATCCTCACCACCTCTCACACACTATCCTCACCACCTCTCACTTACTATCCTCACTAACTGTCACACACTATCCTCACCACCTTCATTATCCTCATCACAGCTCTCACATATTATACTCGCCATCCTCACCATCCTCACCACCCTCACATTCCCCACCCTCACACTCACTATCCTCACTACCTCTCACTATCCTCATCACCTTCACCACCCTCACTTTCTTCACCTTCCCTCACGCTCACTATCCTCACCTACTCACCCTTTCCTCACCTTCCCCTCACCTCACTATCCACTACCTCCATCCTCACCACCCTTACTTTCCTCACCTTCCCTCCCGCTCACCCTCACGCTCACTACCTCTCCTATCCTCATCACCTTCACCTCCCCTCACTTCCTCCCTCACTATCTCACTACCTTCCTCCTCACCACCCTCACTTTCCTCACCTTCCCTCACGCACACTATCCTCTACCTCTCACTATCATCAATCACCCTTCACCACCCTCACTTCTCCTCACCTTCCCTCACGCTCACCATCCCTCACTACCTCTCACTATCCTCCACCACCCCTCACTTTCCTCACCTTCCCTCACGCTCACTATCCTCCACTACCTCTCACCTATCCTCACCACCCTCACTTTCTTCACCTTCCCCTCACGCTCATTGTCCTCACTACCTCTCCACTATCCTCCCACCCCTCACTTTCCTCACCTTCCCTCGCTCACTATCCTCACTACCTCTCACTATCCTCACCACCTCACTTTCTTCACCTCCTCACGCTCACTATCCTCACTACCTCTCACTATCCTCACCACCCTTACTTTCCTCACCTTCCCTCACGCTCACTATCCTCACTACCTCTCACTATCCTCACCACCCTCACTTTCCTCACCTTCCCTCACGCACACTATCCTCACTACCTCTCACTATCCTCACTTTCTACTCACGTTCGCACGGCCTGAATGAGGAAGAAGTTGAAGACAGCCAACAGACAGAGCGGCAACAGGATGAAAGTGACGGCAGTGAACCAGTAGTAGGTGTGACGGTAGGTCGAGTCCTGGCCAAGCTGCAACAGAGAAAGTGACGGTGAAAGTGAGTGAAAATTACTGTGAAAGTGAGTGAAAGTGTTGGTAGGTCGAGTCCTGGCCAAGCTGCAACAGAGAAAGTGACGGTGAAAGTGAGTGAAAGTGACGGTGAAAGTGAGTGAAAATTACTGTGAAAGTGAGTGAAAGTGTTGGTAGGTCGAGTCCTGGCCAAGCTGCAACAGAGAAAGTGACGGTGAAAGTGAGTGAAAGTGACGGTGAAAGTGAGTGAAAATTACTGTGAAAGTGAGTGAAAGTGTTGGTAGGTCGAGTCCTGACCAAGCTGCAACAGAGAAAGTGACGGTGAAAGTGAGTGAAAGTGACGGTGAAAGTGAGTGAAAATGACTGAGAAAGTGAGTGAAAGTGTTGGTAGGTCGAGTCCTGGCCAAGCTGCAACAGAGAAAGTGACGGTGAAAGTGAGTGAAAGTGTTGGTAGGTCGAGTCCTGGCCAAGCTGCAATAGAGAAAGTGAGTGAAAGTAACAGCTGAAGTGAGTGAAAGTAACGGCGGAATTGAGTGAAAATGAGTACGAAAAAACAAACCTTTGCATACATTGACTTCACCCCATGAGTACAACAACTTAACCCCTTGAGTACAATAATTTAACCTCTTAAGTACGATAATTACTCCCTTCCATCATCCACTCAGGTTGCCAGACGTAGGAGAAAGTCATGAAAGGTTACCGTCCACTAAATATTTCCGTCGTTGCAAAATTTTTCTCTTTGATTTACTTTTCCTGAGAACGTTGCAGAGATTATTGTCCTTGTTATATTATTTTCTTCCCGGGGAAAATATCCAACGGTAGAGAAATTTCCCCCCTGTGCGATATTTTTCCCGCGTAAAATTTCTAACATCAATATTGTTTTTCTTTGAGGTATAATATTTTTTTCGGGAAATTATAAAACGTTATAAAAAATAAATCTCTCCTTTGTATATATTTCCCGGGAATATATCCAACATTATAAAAAAAAAAAATCCTGGCCAATATATATTTCCCTGCCATAATTTCTGGCAATGTAAAAATTCCTTAAGCATTTTTTTTGAGAATTTATTACAGGAATTCCAAGTATTTTCCTCATTTCCTTAATATTTAATCGGTAATTAATTAATTATGCATACATATTAGATATTGGTGAGATGGATCATGGGAGCTGAATAAACCCACCTACCGTGAGTGAAAGTTAGTGAAAGTGTGAGTGTGTGAAAGTATCAGTGAAAGTTTGTATAAAATGATCAGTGGTAAAAGTGTGAGTGACTGAAAGTGTATGTGTGTGTGTGAAAGTGTCAGTGAAAGTGTTATATAGAGTGAGTGAAAGTAACAGTGAAAGTATGAGTGACAGTTAAAATGGGGTGAAGCATAGTGAAAGTTCAAGTGAAGGCGATAGCGAAAGTGTGAATGAGAGTGAGTGAAAGTGTGAGTGAGATTGAGTGAGAGTGTAAGAGTGAAAGTGAAAGCATTCGCGAGAGTGAGTAATAGTGATTATGAAAGTGAGTGAGAATGATTGAAAGTGAAAGTGAGTGAAATTATGAGTGAAAGTGTGAAAGTTATAGAGTGAGAGGGAGACTGTAAGTGAAAGTTTATATGAGAGAGTAAAAATGTTGGTGAAAGTGTTCGTAAGAAGGTGAAAGTGATTATGAGAATATGGATATCAATTGAAAATCTCTATACTTGTATTAACTAATTACTGCAATAACTTGGGGAGAGAGGAATGGTAATTATAATCATTAAAATTCTTATTATTTTCTTTAACTATTTTATTTAATTCTTGTATGCATTTTTACCCCCCCTACCCCCCTACCCCCCTCCCCCCCTCCCCTTCCCCCTTCCTAGTAAATAGCTAGCCTGCTTATGATTACTTAATTACTTATACATTGATACTGACAACAAAATCATAAAAGGATAAAGAATAATAACGAGAGGAAGAAGAGGAATGTTAATAATAATAAGATAAGTAAAATAATGATTACATGATAAGTCCAAGTGGCTAGGGGATGAGAAAATAAGGATAGATGGGAAGAATTTTACAGTGGGATAGTCTCACCCGGGACCCACTACAAGCCAACCACGTCACATAATAAGATCTGCCCGTGGATGAACCTGATATAGTATTTGAAAATGATAGTGACAGTGTAGGTGAAAGTTATATAGTGAAAGTGTGGGTGAAAGTTATTGTGAAAGTGTGGGTGAAAGTTATTGTGAAAGTGTGGGTGAAAGTTATTGTGAAAGTGTGGGTGAAAGTTATAGTGAAAGTGGGTGAAAGTTATAGTGAATGTGTGGGTGAAAGCAGCAACAGATGACGCCTGGTTGACACATGCATGACAGAAGCTTTGGTAGTCGGGCGTGGTAAATCAAAGCTGACAGTGTGTGTGTGTGTGTGTGTGTGTGTGTGTGTGTGTGTGTGTGTGCGTGCGTGCGTGCGTGCGTGCGTGCGTGCGTGCGTGTGCGTGCGTGCGTGCGTGCGTGTGTGTGTGTGTGCAGAGCGAGGCGGGGCGGGGGTTTTGCGAGGACGAAAGTAATTCAGTATTCCTCTATTTTTTATGTGAATTCATTATTCCGGAAATAAACACCGACTCGAATTTGCACAGCTAATGATAAAAAAGTCAGGTCAGGAGGTCAGGCTAGGTCACATTATTTACCAGGTCAGGAGGTCAGGCTAGGTCACATTATTTATCAGGTCAGGAATTTCAGGTTAGGTCATACTATATTTACCCGGTCAGGGTTAAGAGGTTCTGGTTAGGTGACAATATTTACTAGTTCGGGTCTGGAGGTCAAGTTAGGTCACAGTATTTACCAGGAGGTCAGGTCAGGTCACAGTATTTATCAGGTCAATTCAGGTTGTCAGTAGGTGGGTGTGGATGTGTGGGTGTAGGTGGGTGTGGGTGTTGGGTCGCCTCCGTCAACACAACATATTGAAGAATGGTTTTCAAACTCTCGACACAAAAGGTTTTTCCCAAGAGCCCGTGAGAGAGAGTTAACCCAACTACCCACCACCACTCCTCCCCCTTACCACCACCACTCCATCTTCTTACTACCACCACTCCACCCCCTACCACCACCACTCCATATTCTTACCATTACCACTCCACCCCATACCACCACCACTCCATCTTCTCACCACCACCACTCCACCCCTACCACCACCCTCCATCTTCTTACTACCACCACTCCACCCCCTACCACCACTTCACCCCTACCACCACTCCATATTCTTACCATTACCCTCCACCCCATACCACCACTCCATCTTCTCACCACCACCACTCCACCTACCACCCTCCACCCCCACCACCACCACCCCTACCTCACCCCCACCACCACCACCCCTGACGTGTTCGAGTTAATGATGGTGTTTGGTAACTTGTTCCACTCATCAACAAGGGGTAGTGAAATGTGGAGTGTCATATCCATAGAGTTATTATCGTGTCCTTGCCTATATTTTTACATTTCATCGACACATTTAACACTATATAGAGATAATTAACATTAAAGTAAGGATTATTAACATTCGATAAGGATTTTTTTTTACCATGAAGAGGGAAATTTAACATCATTTGGATAGTTACTCGTATGTTGAAATATTTTGTTACATAAAAGAAACTCGTGTGAATATTTTGCTTCTCTCTCTCTCTCTCTCTCTCTCTCTCTCTCTCTCTCTCTCTCTCTCCAGCAGCTGAGGGTTAAGGCAGTTCATCTTGAGATATCTCCAGGAGACCTTCTCTACTGCCCAGCGTAATGTTCAATAGTATTTATGTGTCGAGAAAAAATAGTATTGGCCAGGAAGTAAATGGCGTGTGTGAGAGAGAGAGAGAGAAGAAGTTATTTCCGCTACATAAGCTCACAATCGACTTCTCATTGTTTCCTCTATCGATGGCTGGTTGGCTGGGAGGTGACAGTGGTGATGGTGATGCTGCAGTGGTGGAGGTGTGTGGTGGTGGAGGTGTGTGGTGGTGGAGGTGTGTGGTGGTGGAGGTGTGTGGTGGTGGAGGTGTGTAGTTGTGGTGTGTGGGTGTTAGTGATGATAGTGGTTGTGGTGTGTTGGTGGTGAGAGGGGTGATAATGGTTGTTGCTTTAGGGTGTATGTGTGTGTGAGGGAGGGAGGGAGGTAGTGGTGGCCAGAGAAGGACGTCAGGCACTGCAGAGAGTCATGGTATATACCGTCTTATATTACAGATGCGGACTCGTGTGTAGATGGCAGGGGTCCAGCTCTCTCTCTCTCTCTCTCTCTCTCTCTCTCTCTCTCTCTCTCTCTCTAACACAGTCTTTAAACAATTTACATGATCTCTGCGACTTTAACGATACTCATGGGATTAACTCATCGTGGAGACACACACACACACACACACACACACTGCCTTTGGAATGAGTGTGAACAACTTGGCTCCCTGCTATAGCGTCCTCCAGAAATTATTGAACAGTCTCCAAAATTGGACCACTACCAACCATGTCACCACCGACCTTACAAAAACCGTGGTTATGCCCCATGTCTCACCTCCCTCCAACACATTGGGCCCCAACACACTCCAGGTTATGGACTCTATAAAGCTCCTCGGCGTCACTATAGATAACAAATTAAATTTAAAAGCACACGTCAGTACAATCAACATATGTTCCAGCTTTCGTCTCCACCTCCTGCGTCGTCTCCAGCCCCTTGGAGTTCCTGCATCTGAGCTCTTGAGACTTTACACAACATTCATAATGCCTAAGCTTACTTATGCTTCCCCTGACTGGTCTTCTCACTTAACTGCTACACAACGAGGACTCGTAGGAGTGCAGAAGAAGGCGTGCAAGATTATTCTCTCCCCCTCCTACACCACACGTCAATAGGCGCTCAGTACACTGACCCACGGCCTCCTCTGCAAATTTGGGGAGAAGCTTCTGCACCAACCTCGACACCGTCTCCTGCTTCCATCCGAGGTCCCTCGTCCACGAAATACTGTTCGACAACACAAGAACACCCAGCCCATAGTACCACGTACTGATCGCTAAAAGAACAGCCCAGTCCCAACCATTGTAAAAATTATTAACAGCTTGTAGTTAACCAGTGTGTTCACTCTCAGCCAACCTCGCTTTTGTGCTGTAATTGTGCTGAAATTCCCTATTAAACGACCCTTAGTCCCTTGTCTTGATATATTACATACTGTATGTACCACTTACGTCATTTATAGATTTTCAAGTTTATGGCTGCTGTTCTTGTTGATAAACCGTTAATTATTATTATTATTACACACACACACACACACACACACACCATCACCACCACCACCCACCTCTTACAACCTCTGACTTGCTCCTTGAAGCTAAGATGTCCCTCTACCATGTCCCCTCTACTGTCCACCTTTCCCCCACTAATTTCCTCTCTCTCCCTTTACTATCTCCTATTTAGTCTTTATCTTTCCCCTCTTGTTTCCCCTCATCACCTCTGCACCTGAATAATTGTTAGTTAAACACTTTGACAGCTAAACAATGGTAATTCTTTGTAATGGGGCACACCATACACACACACACAGAGAGAGAGAGAGAGAGAGAGAGAGAGAGAGAGAGAGAGAGAGTTGCCACCTACTTCAACTCTTATACACACACACTCACACACACACACCACACACGCGACAATATCACCCCCAAACGACCCAATGTTGTGTGTTACGATCCCCTGTTTATGACGCCAGGCCAGAGACTACACAAAGCTGACGATATTATTGGTCTCGCGTGTCTATGATGAGATAAAAAAAAAGTCTCGTTCAGTCTCTATGGCGAGATAATGAGTCTCGTTTATCTCTCGTTCATCTGAGGAGAATTTATCACCTATAGTGTTGTGATGGTTGACACACACTGGTTCCCTGGGATGGTTGACACACACTGGTTCCCTGGGATGGTTGACACACACTGGTTCCCTGGGATGGTTGACACACACTGTTTCCCTGAGATGGTTGACACACACTGGTTCCCTGGGATGGTTGACACACACACTGGTTCCCTGGGATGGTTGACACACACTGGTTCCCTGGGATGGTTGACACACACTGGTTCCCTGGGATGGTTGACACACTGGTTCCTGGGATGGTTGACACACACTGGTTCCCTGGGATGGTTGACACACTGGTTCCCTGGGATGGTTGACCACACTGGTTCCCTGGGATGGTTGTCACACCTGGTTCCTGGGATGGTTGACACACACTGGTTCCTGGGATGGTTGACACACTGGTTCCTGGGATGGTTGACACACTGGTTCCTGGGATGGTTGACACACACTGGTTCCTGGGATGGTTGACACACACTGGTTCCTGGGATGGTTGACACACTGTTTCCCTGGGATGGTTGACACACACTGGTTCCTGGGATGGTTGACACACACTGGTTCCTGGGATGGTTGACACACACTGGTTCCCTGGGATGGTTGACACACACTGGTTCCTGGGATGGTTGACACACTGGTTCCCTGGGATGGTTGTACACTGGTCTCCTGGGATGGTTGACACACATTGGTCTCCTGGGATGGTTGACACACACTGGTCCCCTGGGATGGTTGACACCACTGGTTCCCTGAGATGGTTGACACACACTGGTTCCCTGGGATGGTTGACACACACTGGTTCCCTGGGATGGTTGACACACACTGTTTCCTGGGATGGTTGACACACACTGGTTCCCTGGGATGGTTGACACACATGGTTCCTGGGATGGTTGACACACACTGTTTCCTGGGATGGTTGACACACACTGGTTCCTTGGGATGGTTGAACACACACTGGTTCCTGGGATGGTTGACACACACTGGTTCCCTGGGATGGTTGACACACTGGTTCCCTGGGATGGTTGACACACAGTGGTTCCCTGGGATGGTTGACACACACTGGTTCCCTGGGATGGTTGACACACACTGGTTCCTGGGATGGTTGACACACACTGGTTCCTGGGATGGTTGACACACACTGGTTCCCTGGGATGGTTGACACACACTGTTTCCTGGGATGGTTGACACACCTGGTTCCCTGGGATGGTTGACACACACTGGTTCCCTGGGATGGTTGACACACACTGGTTCCCTGGGATGGTTGACACACACTGGTTCCTTGGGATGGTTGACACACACACTGGTTCCTGGGATGGTTGACACACACTGTTTCCCTGGGATGGTTGACACACACTGTTTCCCTGGGATGGTTGACACACACTGGTTCCCTGGGATGGTTGACACACACTGGTTCCTGGGATGGTTGACACACTGGTTCCCTGGGATGGTTGTCACACACTGGTTCCCTGGGATGGTTGTCACACACTGGTTCCCTGGGATGGTTGTCACACACTGGTTCCCTGGGATGGTTGCACACTGGTTCCCTGGATGGTTGTCACACACTGGTTCCCTGGGATGGTTGTCACACTTTCCAGACTAGGTCCTGATCCTAGCAGCCCAGTTCTACCAGCCCAGTCCTACCAGGCCCAAGCTCAACCAGCCTCTAGTCCCACCAGGCCCCAGTCCTACCAACTTCCACTCCTACCAGCCCCCAGTCCTACCAGCCCCCAGTCCTACCAGCCCCCCAGTCCTGCAGCCCCAGTCCTACCAGCCCCAGGCCTACCAGCCCCCAGCCTACCAGCCCCTGTCCCTACAGCCCCCCTGTCCTTCCAGCCCCCAGTCCTACCAGCCTCCAGTCCTACCAGCTCCAGTCCTACCAGCTTCCACTCCTACCAGCCCCCAGTCCTACCAGCCCCCAGGCCTACCAGCCCCAGTTCTGTCAAGGCCCATTTAAGTTGGGTCCCCATTATGGCGACCTGAGGCCATTGGGACTGGTTTAAAGTACTAATGGTTAAGGTAGGTGTTTGTAGCGAAGAGATTAAATCTAACTTTTCATATCTATTAATAAATAGCATAGCGGGTCAGCCAATATAATTCACGCACATATTCAAAATTTTATGAGATGTAAATTAAAATCCTCCTTCCTCCCTCCCCTCCCTTCCCCCTTCCCTCCTCCCTCCCTTCTCCCTTCCCTCCCTCCCTCCCTCCCTCCCTCCCCTCCCCTCCCTCACCACAGTCTATCCCTCCCCTTCTCTCTACTTCCATCTCTCCTCCCTCCTTCCCTCCTACCTACGCTCCCTTTCCAGTCTCTTCTTCCTTCAACCCTACCTACTTCCTTCTCCCTCCTCCCTTCCTCCTTCCCTCTCTCTCTCCTTCTCTCCTTTCCTCCTTCCTACTCCCCTGCCTTCCTCCGTCCTTCTATTAGAATAAATGTTGTGCAAAATCTGATGTTTAACAGTTCACTAAGAGTAATGGAAGCACACACACACACACACACACACACACACACACACACACACACACACACACTTGAGACTCGATTGTAGATGGCAAGGATCCATCTCTCTCTCTCCTTCCCTAGGTGAGGTTCGAACTTTGGATGAGAGAAATGCCAAAGTGAAACTTCACTGTAACCTTTAGCAATGTGTGTGTGTGTGTGTGTGTGTGTGTTGTCGCTGGCTATGGTGTAATGGTCAGCATGCTCGCCTCTCCAGCGAGTAGACAGGTTCGATCCTGGACAGGGTGAAACTATGGGCAAGTTTCTTTACGCAATTTGCCTCTGTCTACCCAGCAGTAATTGGGAACCTGGATGTTACTCGATTTGTAGATCGTGTAATGGTTAGCCAGTGCAGTTGGCGAGTTGTCCGGTTTTCTCGGACTATTCCTTGACACTGGGTCATGCAACTCGTTAACATAGGGTGTGGTTGTTGTATTGGCGACGGCTTCTACACCTTAAACAAATTCACACCTAGGTGGCCCTTGGGCCGGCCATCCTCGTTACACGAGGGGCAACCATTTTTATGTGTAAATAATAATAATAATAATAATAATAAACGGTTTATTAATAGAGTTGCAGCCGGTGTGTGTGTGTGTGTGTGTGTGTAATAATATGTATATATAATAATTAACGGTTTATTGAAAAAGTTCTGCAGCCCGAGGCTGAAAATATACATTGGACATAAATGACTTATTACATACATTGGTGGTTTAACAAAAGCCTTCATTAGAGAAGGTAAAGACATACAGTGAACATACAGATTAATGTAGGATTGTACGTGTTGAACAGCAAACACGTAGTGTAGTAACTTCCTCCCAGATGGTGTTAGGAGGACCTCACGTGATGTAGTGGTTCCCTCAGATGGTGTTATGAGGGACCTGACGTGGTGTAGTAATTCCTCGCAGATGGTGTTATGAGGACCACGTGGTGTAGTAATTCCCTCACAGATGGTGTTGTGTGTGTGTGTGTGTGTGTGTGTGTGTGTGTGTGTGTGTGTGTGTGTGTGTGTGTGTGTGTGTGTGTGTGTGTGTGTGTGTGTGTGTGTGTGTTTGTGTTGTATGATGTGTTTGTGTGTAGTAATAATAATAATAATAATAATAATAATAATAATAATAATAATAATAAAACTCTCACCATCAAGCTGGACCTGATACTCACGCTGCTGTAGTCGAGGGCGAGGTAAGGTTGGTGGGTGTCGGGTCGAGTCTTAGTGACGACCACCCACTCGTGGGGGGTGGTGGCGGTGAGGGCGAAGCACAGGAAGTACACCACAGTCACCACCTTCTTGGCCCGCGACACTGTACACAGCACCTGTGGGAGAGACGTTCACAGCGTGTACACAACAGGACACTTTATGATGTACACACAGTAGACAGAGCGTACACACAGGATATAGCGTGTACACACATGAGATAGTGTACACACAGTAGACAGCGCATTCACACAGGAGATAGTGTGTATACACAGGGGACAGCGTGTACACACAGAGGACAGCGTGTACACACAGAGGACAGCGTGTACACACAGAAGACAGCGTGTATACACAGAAGACAGCGTGTAAACACAGAAGACAACGTGTACACACAGGAGACCGCATGTCACACAGAAGACAGCGTGTAACAGAAGACAACGTGTAAACACAGAAGACAACGTGTACACACAGAAGACAGCGTGTATACACAGAAGACAACGTGTACACACATGACACATCGTGTACACATATGATACATCGTGTACACACATGACAGTGTTTACACACATGACACAGTGTTTACACAAATTACACAGCGTGTACACAATTGACACATCGTGTACACACATGACACATCGTGTACACACCTGACACAGAGTGTACATACATTATACAGCGCGTACACACACACGTCACAAATTATACACACGGGGAACTGCTTGTATACAATACAACAGTTCCCCACTAAAAATAATTTTTGGCAAAAACTGAAACACGAAACGAAGTTAGTGGTTGTGTTGGCAGCCCTGAAATCACCTTTGGCCACCCTCACCAACCACCACACCCTCACCAACCACCCACCCACCCTCACCAACCATCACCACCCTCACAACCACCCACCCCACCCTCACCAACCATCACCACCCTACCCAACCCCCACCCACCTCACCAACCACCCCACCCTCCTCCCACCCCCTCACCAACCACCCACCCAACCACCCCACCCCACCCCACCCCACCACTCACACACCATGTAAATATCCTGGCCTGAACAGTAATTTCGGCTGTCTGACACTGTACACACCAACAGCCACTGTTGACGACAACGATACAATAAGTCTGGGCCAACTATGTGTGTCTTTGTTTGTGTGTGTGTGTGTGTGTGTGTGTGTGTACGCTTGTTTTATTGGTGTGTGTGTGTGTGTGTGTGTACGTCTTTGTTTTATTGTGGTGTGTGTGTGTGTGTGTGTGTGTGTGTGTGTGTGTGTGTGTGTGTGTGTGTGTGTGTGTGTGTGTGTGTACGTCTTTGTTTTATTGGTGTGTGTGTGTGTGTGTACGTCTTTGTTTTATTGGTGTGTGTGTGTGTGTGTGTGTGTGTGTGTGTGTACGTCTTTTTTTTATTGGTGTGTGTGTGTGTGTGTGTGTGTACGTCTTTGTTTTATTGGTGTGTGTGTGTGTGTGTGTGTGTGTGTGTGTGTGTGTGTGTGTGTGTGTGTACGTCTTTGTTTTATTGTGTGTGTACGTCTTTGTTTTATTGGTGTGTGTGTGTGTGTGTGTGTGTGTGTGTGTATCTTTAGTAATATTACTATTTAATCCTGCTGTTATATATTTCTCCATCTGTGTATGAATAAATTAAAGCTATATCCCCCCCCCAACCTTGTGCTTTGTATGCATAAATTCATGTATGCATGTATTCATATGCGTATTAATATGTATACAATGATGTGTATTGGAGCTGCTGCTAACAAATACAATAACAAGGACACCCTCGGTTGGCAAGGTGAGATGAGGGGAGGCGTGTTTACCTAGGGAACAGGTGTGGAATATACTGTAATAGTGATTGGTGGTGGTGGTAGGTGATGGTAGTGGTGGTAGGTGGTGATTGTGGTAGGGTGATTGTGGTAGGTGGTGGTGATGATGGTGGTAGGTGGTGGTAGTGTTTGGTGGAGGTAGTGGTAGGTGGTAGTTGGGGAAAGTAGTAGAAAAGTGGAAGTAAGTAGTAAAGACCTTAGGGAAGTGGCGGTGAGGAGTAAAGTCCCTAGGAAGTCGGTGAGAAGTAAAGACCCTAGGGAAGTGGTGAGAAGTAAAGACCTAGGAAGTGGCGGTGAGGAATAAATAACCTAGGGAAGTGTAGGTAGTAAAGACCTAGGAAGTGGCGGTGAGGAATAAATAACCTAGGGAAGTGGCAGAAGTAGTAAAGACCTTAGGGAAGTGGCAGAGGAGTAAGACCTAGAAGTGGCAGTAAGAAGTAAAGACCTAGGGAAGCAGTAGAGGGTAAAGTCCCTAGAAGTGGCGGTGAGGAATAAATAACCAGGGAAGTGGCGGTGAGAAGTAAAGACCTAGGAAGTGGCGGTGAGGAGAAAGTCCCTAGGAAGTGGCGGAGAAGAAAGACCCTAGGGAAGTGGCGGTGAGGAAAAATAACCTAGGGAAGTGGCAGTAAGTAGTAAAGACCTTAGAAGTGGCGGTGAGAATAACAACCTAGGAAGTGGCAGTAAGTAGTAAAGACCTTAGGGAAGTGGCAGAGGAGTAAAGACCCTAGGAAGTGGCAGTAGAAGTAAAGTCCCTAGGGAAGTGGCAGTGAGGAGTAAAGTCCTAGGGAAGTGGCGGTGAGGAGTAAAGACCCTAGGAACGTGAAGTAATGGGAAAGACTTAGCGTAGTGGCGCAGATAGAGGAGGTGGTGTTGGAGCCTGCCTCGCTGCCACACACACACACACACACACACACACACCACACACACACACACACACACATACACTCTCTCTCACACACACACACACACACAGAGGGAAAACGAGCAGAGAATTTCATTTGTATGGAAATCAATCATAGTTTGGACTCTGCATGGATTCGTACGAGTTTTATCTTCTAACCTAAACCTAACCTAACCTAACCTAAACCTAACCTAACCTAACCTAACCTAACCTAACCTAACCTAAACCTAACCTAACCTAAACCTAACTTAACTTAACCTTTCCGGCAGTGAGAGACCTTACGAACCACTTCATCTCCATAATGGTATGTAGATGTGGGTCTCTATGGGGTCTGAATTGCCCTGAGACTCGACTGTGGCTGGACGGGTGTTCGTTAACATAGTTGAGTGGGATAAGAAATTGTTGAATGTGGAAATCTTCAGGAGTTTGGGATAGTTGGGTATGCTCAGATTAGGGCACGGAACCTAGCTTAACCTAACCTATCTTAACCTAACCTATCTTAACCTAACCTAACCTATCTTAACCTAACCTAACCTAACCTATTAAACCATACCGGTGCCAAATATTTCGCATGTCCCCAAAAAAAAATCAAAATATGAACAGGTGAGACCCAGGAAATATTTTGGAGTGTTGAAAATATTGCAGATGTGAAAACTATCCTGGGACGCAGAGGAGATCAAGTCTTTACTTTACGACTAGTGGTGGAGCCGATGTTGTGTGTGTGTGTGTGTGTGTGTGTGTGTGTGTGTGTGTGTGTGTATGTGTTTGTGTGTGTCTGTGTATGTCTATCATAAAAACACGAAATTTTTGTGTCTTTTCCGGGAGTTTTTTATAGGTACTTTTGTGTCTCGTCTCATCCAGAAGTGAGTGTTTTTATATGAGATTGTGTGTGTGTGTGTGTGTGTGTGTGTGTGTGTGTGTGTGTGTGTGTGTCAGTCACGTTCTGTCTACTTTAGTAAGTCAATATCGCTTATCACTTAACACACACACACGCCTAAGTTAACAAGTTCCGTTGCTACACTCACTACAGTCACGTCTTACAATACTTATAAATCTTTCTAAGTAACAAGATCTGGCTGTAAGTGACCAGACCTGATGATTCAGACTACATCCACTTTTTGCGCTACTTAATAAACTATAAAGTAACTTAATCTGGCGTTACATAATACATTTTTATACACATTGACCACATACACTCTGTATTGCCTTAATTTAATAATACAGAAGTGAATATTTATTGCATTACAGAATAAACATTATTTGAGGTGCAGGTTTCTTCTGTCGGTTCCTGTTAGATGTAGGGGGAGGGAAGGAGAGGAATAATGGAGAGAGGTGGAAGGAGGGGGCTGGTGGAAGGAAGGAGGGGGAAAAAACGATATGTTAATTCAACCTCTATAACTAAAATCCTATGCAAAACACGTCCCATTTCTCTCTCTCTTCATAAAATCTAAGTTTAAAAATATGCAGAATAAATTTTTTTCCACCGTAAGTTTAATTAAGTTCTGTTGACGGAATCTACTTAGTGATGTGTAGTGATGTACCTGTAGTGTGGTGATGTGTAGTGATGTGTTAATGTGTGGTGGGGTGATTGTGGTAAAGTGTGGTATGTGTGTGAAGATGTTGACTGTGTGGCACCCGGGTTCGATCCGGAAGAGTGAAATTATGGGCAAGTTTCTTCACACCATTTGCCTCTTGTCTACCCAGCAGTAATTGGGAACCTGGATGTTAATCGATTTGAAGATCGTATTCCAGGTTAGCCAGTGCAGTTGGCAAGTTGTCCGGTCTTCTCTGACTACTCCTTGACACTGGGTCAGGCAGCTCGTTAACTCAGGGTGTGGTTGTTGTGTTGGCGACAGCTTCTACACCATAAACAAATTCACGCCTAGGTGGCCCTTAAGCCGGACACCCTTGTTACTGTACACGAGGGGCAACCATTATTGTTTTACTGTGTGGGAAGAGAGAGAGATAGATAGATAGATAGATAGATAGATAGATGTAAGGGAGAGAGAAAGACAGAGAGAGAGAATAGGGAAAGGGAGAAAAACAGACAGACAGACAGACAGACAGACAAACAGACAGACAAACAGACAGACAGACAGGTGGAGAGAGTTGATATACCTTACAATAAGAGTTTCCTCCATTTTAGAGCATCTTTTGGGTATTCCATTGCACTCCCTGGCACTTAATGGCTCTCCCTAACACTTACTGACACTTCCTGACACTATGACACCCCTGACACCCACACTACCTGACACCTGACACCTTAATGACTCCCTAACACTTACTGACACTCCCGACACCTTACTGACACCCTGACACCACCCCTGACACCTTAATGACACCCCTAACACTTACTGACACCCCTGACACTTACTGACACCCCTGACACACTTACTGACACTCCCTGACACTTACTGTCACTCCCGACACTTACTGTCACTCCCTGGAACTTACTGACACTCCCCTTGACACTTACTGTCACCCTGGAACTTACTGCACCTTTCCTAACACTTACTGACACCCCTGACACCACCCCTGACACTACTGACACTCCCTGAACTTACTGCAATTCCTTTCCCTAACACTTACTGACACTCCCTGACACTTACTGACACCCCGACACTAACACTCCCTGACACTTACTGACACTCCCTGAACTTACTGCAATCTTGGCACTTACTGTCACTTCCTGGCACTTACTGATACTCCCTGTCACTCCCCTGGAACTTACTGCAATTCCTTGGCACTTACTGTCACTTCCTGGCACTTACTGATACTCCCTGTCACTTACTGATACTCCCTGTCACTCCCTGGAACTTACTGTCCATCCCTGGCACTTACTGTCACTCCCTGGCACTTACTGATACTCCCTGTCACTCCCTGGAACTTACTGCAATTCCTTGGCACTTACTGTCACTCCTTGACACTTAATGACACTCCCTAACACTTACTGACACTCACTGACACTCCCTGGAACTTACTGCGATTCCTTGGCACTTACTGTCACTCCTTGACACTTAATGACACTCCCTGTCACTCCCTGGCACTTACTGTCACTCCCTGGCACTTCCTGTCACTCCCTGGCACTTCCTGTCACTTTCTGGCACCCGACAGAAGTGACATTAAGGGAGATGATAACACACAAATTGACACTATTCTCCCTTTATATGAGAGACACAGGGAGATAACACAATTCTCCCTTTATATGAGAGACAGGGAGATAACACAATTCTCCCTTTATATGAGAGACAGGGAGATAACACAATTCTCCCTTTATATGAGAGATATCTAAGGTAGAGAACTCTAAGAGATGATGAAACCTAACTTAATGCCATCAATGACACTTCAAACTCGGTGTTACACACACACACACACATCTTCCTAATCTTCCTTAAGTCTTCCTGATCTTCCTTAAGTCTTCCTGATCTTCCTTAAGTCTTCCTGATCTTCCTTAAGTCTTCCTGATCTTCAGTCTTCCTGATCTTCCTTAAGTCTTCCTGATCTTCCTTAAGTCTTCCTGATCTTCCTTAAGGGGAAAGAAGGAAGAAAGAGGAGGAAGAAGGAAGAAAGAGGAGGAAGAAGGAAGAGGAGGAAGAAGAAAGAGGAGGAAGAAGGAAGAGGAGGAAGGTTTGGTCTTAAAGGTTCTAATGGAGGTCGACGGGTAATGGTACTCCCTATTTTATGAGAGAGAGAGAGAGAGAGAGAGAGAGAGAGAGAGAGAGAGAGAGAGAGACACACAAATAGACAGACAAAAGACAGAGACAGACAGAGAGAGAGAGAGGGACACACACACGTAGAGACAGACGGACAGACAGAGAACTAGGCAGAAAATGAGAGAGAGAGACAGAGAGAGAGAGAGAGAGAGAGAGAGAGAGAGAGAAAGCAAATGGCAGACAGACAGACAGACAGACACCTAGTAAGTAGATTAGACAAGTCCTGCGTAAAGACAGACAGACAGACAGACGTGGTTTAAATGTCAGTGAAAGAGACTTATGGGTGGTACAGTAACAGACAGTTTTTCAAAGTGTTGACAGAATGGCTTATGGCTTGAACAGACAGGTAGTAGACAGACTTCCATGTGTCTGTGATAGACATAAAGACACGTACAGACTCATACAGACACGTACAGACACACACACAGTATTAATTCACCAAACAATAATTATCACAGACATACAGACACACACACAGACATACAGACAGACAGACACACACACACACACACACACACACACACAGACATACAGACACACACACAGACACATACAGACAGAGACACACACACATTAATTCCCCACCAATACATTATCACAGACATACAGACATACAGACACACACACACACACACACACACACACACACACATACAGACACACACAGACACACAGACACACACACACATACAGACACACACAGACATACAGACACACACACACAGACACACACACACACACACACACAGACATACAGACAGACACACACACACACACACACATACAGACAGACACACACACACACACACACACACACATACAGACAGACACACACAGTATTAATTCACCAAACAATAATTATCACAGACATACAGACATACACACACACACACACACACACACAGACACACACACACACAGACATACAGACACACACACAGACAGACATACAGACACACACACAGACACACACACAGACATACAGACACACACACAGACATACAGACACACACACAGACATACAGACATACACACACACAGACACACACAGAATTCACGTTCCTGTTCTGAAGGTCTTGTTGGCTTTACGACCCGGACCTAATACAGTCTTAACTCGACTATTTGTTCTCTCTGACCTTCACTATTTCCAGGTCAGGTTGTGGCGTCTTGAGAGAGAGAGAGAGAGAGAGAGAGAGAGAGAGAGAGAGAGAGAGAGATTAAAAGAAAGAACTGGAGAGAAAGAAAAAGACTTAGTAGGAAGATTAGTGAAGAAAGACGTGAAGAGAAAGTGAGAGAGAGAGAGAGAGGGAGAGAGAGAAAGAGAGAGAGAGAGGGAGAGAGAACACAGACTATCTCTCTCCTTGGGTGAGATAATCTTCTTCCATATTGAGAGAACCAAGAGATTACGGCTCATTAAATCATAAGATGGTTCCGGGTTATATAATTGATTCATATTTAAGTGTGGGGTCATTAATAAGAGCTGAGGCCATTATGTTTCCTAAAATTATGGGAGGGGGTGGTCTTCTCTTCTCTATCTATCTATCTATCTATCTATCTATCACCATAATTCTAGATTAAAATCCCCTTCCCCCCCTTCTCCCCCTCTCCCCCTTCCCTCTCCCCTCCCCCTTCCCCTCTCTCTCCCTTTCCTCCTTCTCCCCCTTCCCCCCCTCCCCCTCTCCCCCCTTTCCCTCCTTCTCCCCACTTCCCTCTCCCCTCTCCCCCTTCCTCCCCTCTCCCCCTTCCTCCCTTCTCCCCTTCTCTCTCCCCCTTCCTCCCCTCTCCCTCTCCCCCTTCCTCTCTCTCCCCCTCTCTCCCTCTCTCCCCTTCTCTCTCCCCCTTCCCTACCCTTGTCACCGGTTGGTTCAGCTTCATCACTCAGCTCACGTCTCTTGCCCATGAGAGACTTACTGCTGAGAGATATTTATGTCTCAAAAGTCTCTTCCACCTTTTTTTGTATGTATAAAAGTCTCTCTCTTGTTCGTATGTATGAAACTGTCTCTCTCTTGTTCGTATGTATGAAACTGTCTCTTTTTGTTATGTATGAAAAATGTCTCTCTCTTGTTCGTATGTATGAAACTGTCTCTCTCTTGTTCGTATGTATGAAACTGTCTTCTATTTTTCTGATATGTATAAAGTCAATCCTACATTCCCACCAATCCCACAACACCAATCCCACAACACCAATCCCACAACACCAATCCCACAACACCAATCCCACAACACCAATCACCTAACATTTACCTCATTTAATTACCATCAAAGTTAAATCACTTATAGAAGAGTTGTTGACTATATATACGAGTAATTAAAATATAGACTCACTTAACGCAACCCACTCTGTAATTAACTGCAACCGGGTAATTAGTATTTAGGTAAATGATTGTAATTAATATGTTCTGGGTGCATGTAGCAGTTTGTACAGTAAGGAAAAATAATAATAATAATAATAATAATAATAATAATAATAACAATAATAATAATAATAATAATAATAATAATATTAGTATGAGCCATATTGATAATAAAAATAATAATGAAAATAACACTGATAATAACTTTAAAAAAAATATATAATATAATATAAAGAAAATACTAAAAGTTAAAAGAACCAAAAAACAAAAGCGAATTCCAGACCCTCAAACATCACAAGCCACAACAAAAACAAAGTAATCACAATCACTTCCATCCCCACCAATCTACCCAACCTGTCAGCCAATCACAAACCTTGGTCGTAACTCACCTTTCCTTTGATTGGATGAGAGACGGCTATATAACGCTCGATGGTAAAGGTCACGGTGATCCAGATAGAGGTGCTGCCTGAAAAGATTTGAACTGTGATAGTCGAGAGTTTTATACCGTGTGTGTGTGTGTGTGTGTGTGTGTGTGTGTGTGTGTGTGTGTGTGTGTGTGTGTGTGTACCAGTATGTGTCATTTGTACCAGTATGTGTCATTGTTTATAAACATACATTATTTGCATGTATAATAATAATAACTACTACTAACAATAATAATAATAAAAAATAATAATAATAACAATAATACTAATAATAATAATAATAAACAATAACACTAATAATAATAATAATACCAATAATAACAATAACACTAACTACCACCATGAGACCATTACACTTATAAAAGCAACAAGTCCCTCTGTCGTTATAGCCACAATAACAATTAACACCTGTAGTTACTCTGGTGATCCGGGGAGGGAGGAGGAACAGTGCTGACGGGAGCGGTGTTAACCAAAAAAAAAAACACGTCTATAAAAACAAAACGAGTTAAACATACATACAGACACCTCGCTTGGCTATACACCTTTAAAGAAACATAAAAATAAATAAAATATACATATAGGGAAAAAACATAAATGAAAATGAAGGGAAAATAGATAGGAAAATAGCCGTGGGGAAATATATCACGAGCGTGGGAAGAAGAAAAACCAGTTACCATTAGTGAAAGACGTGACTCAATGGTGAAGATGGTACAGCCTCTTAACAGCATTTAACAGCACTCTTTACAGCACTCTTGATAAAACTTTAACAGCATTATTGGCAGCTCTCTTAATAGCACTTAACACGATTTTTAACAGCACTCTTAACAGCATTCTTAGCAGCATTTAACAGCATTCCTAACAGCATTTAACAGCACTCCTAACAGCATTCTTAACAGCAATCTTAGCAGCACTTAACAGCACTCCTAACAGCATTTAACAGCATTCTTAACAGCACTCTTATCAGCACTTCTAACAACACTCTTAACAGCATTATTAACAGCCTTTAAAATTACTCCTAACAGCATTTGACAGCACTCATAACAGCATTTAACAGAATTTAACAACTCTTAACAGCATTTAACAGAATTTAACAGCAGTCTTAACATTTAACAACACTCTTAACATCATTTAACAGCACTCTTAACAGCATTTAACAGTACACCAAAACCGCATTTAACAGCATTCTTAACATAATTTAACAGCACACTTAACAGCATTTAACAGCGTTTAACAGCACCCTTAACAGCTTTTAACAGCACTCTTAAAAGCACCCTTAACAGAATTTCACATCACTTAACAGCATTTAACAGCACTCTTAATAGCATTTAACATAACTCTTACCAGCATTTAACATCACTCTTAACAGCATTTAACAGCACATATAACAGTACTCCTAACAGCATTTAATATTACTCTTAACAGCATTTAATATCACTCTTAACAGCCTTTAACAGTACACCATAACAGCATTTAACATAATATAACAGCACTCTTAACAGCACATTTTATAACATTTAACAGTATCCTAACAGTATTTAACAGCACTCTTAACAGTATTCTTCACAGCATTTAACAGCAGTCTTAACAGCATTTAACAGCACTGGGTGTTATCAACAAACGAGTGACATTTTCAGTTATTCTTCAAGTCTTTATTTTCTTGCAAGTTTTTTTTGTTGTGTTTGTGAAGTGTCAGCAGTAAGTAGGCAGAGTGTCAGCAATATCATTAATGTCAGTAACTCCATGAATGTCAGAAATATCAAAGCGTCAGCAATTTCCTGGCTGTCAGCAGTATTGAAAAAACTATAACATTGAGCAAAATCATGATAATCAACAATGCGTCAGGACTACCAAGACTGTCAGCAGTGTCAGCTCTGTCAGCGTTCATAAGATCAGCAACGCTTTTCCCCCCGACGTCTGATTTCTAATTAGATTTCCTACAGTTTCCCCTCCTCACAAGTCTCCGTTTTCTTTCCTCACTTCCCCCTCTTTCTCATAACCTAAAGTGACGACTGAGGGCAAATCTCTCTCTCTCTCTCTCTCTCCACAAACACCAGTAAAACGACCTTTACTAGTCAAAGAAACACACACACACACACACACACACACACACACACACTATTGGCTATTCATATTTGACACAGATGATTTTTGCTGTATTGGGAAAGTCTTTGTGATATACTGGTGTGATATCGAGGTGGTGCTATAAGCCAAGCTGTGATATCGGGACGCTGTGAGCTAGTATTATGTGGTGGTCGTTCAGTGTATCATCCCGGGTAAAGAGTTTTCGCTGAATACTTGTCTTACTATATATCGAAAACCTTTTTAAGGGGAGCAACATAACGAAAATAAAGATAATATATATGAAATGGTTAATGTTACTGGTACAATATATGATATGTAAATAGATTATATTAAGTAATCAGAATACCGTCTTTATATCTAAGGGTTGGCGACCACAGCCCTCTACTCTAAATATTTTCGTTTTTTTTTTTATCAATTCTCTAAAGTTTTTGTTTCTCTCTGGGGGGACTCAGCTGTTTAATTTAATTCATCCATCCCAGTCTCTACCTTCCTACCCTCAGCTTTGTCTATTAATATATGTTATTTTCTTCATCCTTAATTATTTGACTAAAGTATCTCATTTGTCTTTTCTGTACATTTCAAGTATTTTTTGCCAATCTTTGTACTTCTTTAATTTTTTTTGTGTTTGTGATTAAGTTTTTGGTTAGGTTAATGTTGTGTGGGTGTGTGGTAAGTGTGTGTGTGTGTGTGTTAGTAGTAGTATGGTAGAGTGTGGTGGTGTGTGGTTGTAGGTGGTGGTGCGTGGTAGAGTATGGTTGAGTGTGGTTGTAGTGTGGTGGTGTGTGGTAGAGTATGGTTGAGAGTGGTTGTAGCGTGGTGGTGTGTGGTAGACTGTGGTAGAGTGTGGTAATGGTGTGGTAGAGTGTGGTGATGTGGTTGTAGTGTGGTGGTGTGTGGTAGACTGTGGTAATGGTGTGGTAGAGTGTGGTGATGTGTGGTAGTACTCACAACTTTGCTCATAAAGTCAGTTTTAAACTCATAACCACACAACATTCCTGACAGCTCGTCTCATTAGTGTCCATCAAGGCTGACATTCATTGCTGACTTTCCCTTAATGTTGAGATTCCCTCACTGCTGACACTCCCTTAATGTTGAGACTCTTACTGCTGACACCCCCTTAATGTTGAGACTCCCTTACTGCTCATACGCCCTTACTGCTGAAACTCCCTTAATGCTGACACTCCCTTACTGCTGATAGATCCTCACACAACTAACACCGCCTCATAGCTGACTCTCACGGCTGACATCTCAGCTGACAATTAACGTTGCAATTAAGATAGTCCCTCCTATTTTAGTCTCCCTATTAGCATTTAATTTTGCTCACAGAAAAGGCTAGCTCCCTCCTCCTCCCTCCAGTTACAAAAGATCTTACGTTAAAATTTTCTCGTAAGTCTAAAAAAACCGTTGTAACTTTATACTTCAACACTTAAGTAATTAATTCACTTATATTACTGAATGATGATGGATTTTCAGATTTTTTTTACTTTATTTTTTCTCGTAAGTATTAAAAAAATGTCGTAACTTTATCCTAAAACGCTTATGTAATTGAATCTCTTAAGGAATTTCACACTGGTTAATTCTTGGTGATTGTTACGTTAATTTTTCCTCGTAAATGAAGATATACAGTATTTACCTGACTGACTCACTTTAAGTCTTTTATACAAATGATGGATTCTCAAAGATTCTTACATTAAATTTAAGAGGTAAAATTGATCTAATTTATACTACAGCACAAAACAACCCATAATGGCTTCCAAACTGCTCTGTGACTCGAGTTCATGGCAGGAAAATATCGTAAATTTCTTTGAGAATCGGAAACCTAAAGTTGAGTTTTAAAATTAACTTACGATTAATTTTTACATTTCTGTTCTTAACTATGGTTGAGAAGACTAATTTTTCGGTGGTCTGTTTTGTGTGTGTGTGTGTGTGTGTGTGTGTGTGTGTGTGTGTGTGTGTGTGTGGTGGTTTCAAGATGGCGGCTATATTGCACTGAGACTGTTTAAGAGAAAAAATTTAAGGATTATTTTCTTGGATTTGGTACTATGTTGTGAGTAGATTCTCTCTCTCTCTCTCTTACTACCATTTCATCTTGTTGTTTCTCTCTATCACCTCTTTTCATCTTCTCCTCTCCTAATTCTCCTTTCGGCCCTATTCTCCCCTTCGTAATAAATAAGGACAAATAGGAATATTAAAGCTAACGAATTAAATATATCAAACGTTTCTTATCTCATTCTCCCATTTCCTCCTAATTCTCTTTACGTAATTATTCTCTTTTATTCCTGTTCTTCTTCCATTGCCTCTTCCTTCCTTCCTTCGTAATAAAAGCGCCATCATCATCATCCCATCTTTCATCTAAACCTTCATAAAATGTCTAAGTCAGCGATATCCTTATACCGTATTGTCTTCTTCTCTCTCTTCTATTTCTCTTATTTATTATTCTGTTTTCTTTTTCGTGTTCTTCCTTTATTTATTATTTTTTTATTTACATTTTTTTACCTACGTTAGTCTGGTAAATGCGGTGAAATTAATGGAATTTTGTCTCCGAAGTGGTGTAAAGTGAACGAGAGTTTCACCACACCACCACCATACCACCACCACACCATACCACCACAGCACACCACACCATACCACCACACAGCACACACCACACCACCATCACCACACCACACACCACATCCAAGTTACGCTGATACAAGTAAACCAGAACCGAACTCAATTGTATTTTAGTTATGTTAGAGGGGGGAGGTGGGGTGTGGAGGGAGAGGGGGGGGTGGAGGTGTGAGGGAGGGAGAGGGAGGAGAGGGAAGGTGAGGGGGTGGAGTGGGTAGAGGGAGGGAGAGGGGTGGAGGGGAGTGTAGAGGGAGGGGAGTGGGGTGGAGGTGTGTGTGAGAGGGGAGGGAGAGGGGTGGAGTGGGTGAGAGGGAGGAGAGGGGTGGAGTGGGAGGGAGAGGGAGAGAGA